GGTTGAGATCGTGTAACATAAGTCATGCACAACAAGAAACCAGGCATTTTCATAAAACTCATCGGCAACGGAACTAGTCTGTGATTGACTAACGTGACATGATCTGGTTTGTTGACTCTTGCTGCAACAATTGAGTTCAACTGAGCTCTACATGGAGCTTTTGTCCTGAATTTCATCAAAGGAGCGAGATACTTAAAATGCAGCATCATTTTTCTGCTTCAAGAACTATAAAAAGTTAACAGAAAAAGTTTTGAAGATCGCATTGTGAAGAGAATGGTGTGTGATATTTATGAGATGTGCGGTTCACTGTTCAATGTATATAATAATATAATACATAAAAAGATTTTTTTTTTTTTTATTTATTTTTTTTAAAGGCTTCGGCTCTCCTTTGCGTGGTCTTCAGGGTTGACTTAAATACCCAGTTCTTTTCTATTTTTTGTGATTCAAGGTCGCTTCCACCCTCTTTACCAAACCAGCAGATATAGAGGTCATATTCTGCAACTTTAACCTCTAGGAATCATGAGTATCCTTGTTAATCCCAAGTGCGTGTCTGGGGTTTGTCTTTGATTGTGCAAAACATTGACAAACACACAGCTATAGGCTAGACTTCATTGTATCCATAAGACTTATTTACATATCCCCTTTGCACACAAGTAATGAGGGAAAATAAAGTCTGAAAGATAGCTTAAATCTTACGTGCCTTGAAGCAATCTTTCATCCTCTCATTATCATTCCTCATAGACATTTCCATTAAGCCATAACCCAAAGACCTTGTATCAACAAAATTTAGCCAATCTGTCATATTTGAAAATAACTTCACTGCCATGACTAGGAGAGTGATGCATGTCGACCCCATAACTATAAATCAAATATTAAAATCCCGACCCACAAGGTAGGTTTTTCTGTACCTGAAATATTAATAATATATGCAAATTCTTGGAAGTGGTCTTAATGTCAATGGGAAATGCTAGAGAGTTTATATGCAAGAGGTATGAACACATGATAAAGAATGCAAACTCCTTGCCAGTTGTGTTTCCTATGTTGGAAATTGGCTCAAATGTAAAAGAATTTTGGAGTTGCCCATGTGAGTCAAAGTTAGTTGCCCATGTGAGTAAATGTTGGCTTACTATGAGGTCAAAAATGGTGGATTGTTTGGTAGCCATCCATTGGTAAGTTTGGTAGCCAACAAATGAATAGTTGAAGCTTGCATTCACACTCTTGCATCTTTGGCTATAAATTGGAAGCAAATGGTTCCATTTGAAGCATCCCACCAAGTGTTGAGTAGAAGAGGAAAATAGCAAAGAAGGCATCTTGCCAAAGAGAGAAACATTTCTCTCTAGTTGTTCTTTGCTTTGTATTATTGTTTTCTCTTCAATTGTTGTGAGAGTGAGACTTGGGTGTATTTGGGGCTTTGGGTTTTCTTGAGTGATAAACACTTTGTATACTCTCTTTGATTATAGTGAATTACTCCGTCGTCTCCAAACTGGATGTAGGCATTGCCGAACCAGTATAAATCTTGGTGTTCTTGTTGGTGTTGTTTTGTGTTCCATTTATCTCCTGCTAGTTGTTGTTTATTTTTCACTCACAATTGGTTGACGCTTCCGCACAACAAGTGGTATCAGAGCTCCAGTTTTCGACTGGGGTTTCGTAGGAGTGAAAAACTCGTCGAAGCTACAGTTCTGTGAATAGTGTCGGTGCTACAGTTCCATGAACAGTGAACTGCTATAGTATCTGTGAACAGTATTGTATCTGTGAACAGTGCTGTATTTGTGAACAGTGCCGAGTAGATGGCTGGAGATAAAGACGAACTTGTGAAGGAGAAGGAGTCGACATCGTCTTCGTCGGCACCTACATCCAATAGACATCCTATCGCTACTACAAGGTTAGAGGTTGATAAATTCAATGGCTCTAATAATTTTGGTATGTGGCAATGTGAAGTTATGGATGTGTTGTATCAACAAGAGTTGGATATTGTTTTGGAGGATAAACCCAAAGAAATTGATGATAAGCAGTGGAAGAGACTTAATCTTCATGCTTGTGGCTCTATTCGATCATTCCTTGATAAGGAGTTGAAATACCCGTATATGAAGGAAACTTCTGCTAAGGAGTTATGGACGAAATTGGAGGAGAAGTATATGACCAAGAGCGCAGAAAATCGGCTCTTCTTGAAGAAGCGACTCTTCCGATTTCAATATCGTTCAGGTATTTCTATGCACGAACACCTCAATGATTATAATAAAATACTTGCTGATTTAGCAAACCTTGATGTGAAAATTCCTGACGAGGATAAGGCACTATGTTTGTTAAATTCATTGCCCGATGATTATGATCATTTGACAACTACTTTGTTGTATGGAAAATCCGAGGTGAAACTTGAGGAGGTGTCTGCGGCATTGGTGAATCATGAGTGTCGTAAGAAGGACCAGATGACTCACAATTCACAAACCGAGGCACTAGTTGCAAGGGGTCGAACAGAGGAAAGAAAATCTGGGAAGCGGGGAAAGTTTCCTGCCATAGACGAATGTGCCTTTTGTCGCCAAAAGGGTCATTGGAAGAAAGACTGCCCCAAATTGAAGAACAAAGAGAAGGAGAAAACGAGTTCTGAAGCAAATGTTGCAAAATCAGGAGATGATGATTTTGAATTTGCTTTGACTAGTTCATCTGCTGATGGTCACTCCAAGGAGTGGATTTTGGATTCAGGTTGCACCTATCATATGTGTCCCATACGGGAATGGTTTTCTAGCTTCGAGGAGCTGGATGGTGGAGTTGTTTTGATGGGCAATAATAATGCTTGCAAAACACAAGGGATAGGCAAAATCTGTTTGAAGATGCATGATGGAACAGTCAGAGAATTGAGTGATGTTCGGTATGTACCGGATATGAAGAAGAATCTCATCTCATTGGGAGCTTTGGAATCCAAGGGTCTCAAGATCACCATGGATGGTGGAGTTCTTAACGCTGTGTACGGGGCATTGGTGGTGATGAAAGGTACAAGAATATCTTTTGAGGGATGCATATACCAAATGAACCAAAATGATATTTATAGAGTAGTTAAAGGCTATGTATTTTCAGATTTTTTTCATAAATAATTATGTATACACGTCTGATTTGCGTGGCTGGTATGCATCGGCAATGAAGATTTTATAAAGAATAAATTTCGAAATTGAATATATATTATAACAATATGTCACTTGGATTTTCTAAAACATGAACAAAAAAAAAAGCATCATCATCAAGAGTTTGCATTCATTATTTGATCTCTTTTAACTAGATGTCCTAATAGAAGAACAAGTCAATTGAACAGATGTTTATGATTTATAGAAATTTATTCATGAAAACAACTAGCTAGTTACTTTTCTTTATATTATATACTTAGCTTGAAAGTTGGGTTCTTGTAATTTAGGGAAATAAGTCTCCATCAATTACAATTTTTTTTTTTGTCAGAGTTCATCAATCACATTCGTTGTGCGATAAGCTTACATTATTACAAGTTTTTTTTAGTGAAATCTGACAAGCAAGAATAAACAAGTCATCATAAAATTTTATGCATATGATGAATATAACTAGTTAACTGCTTTCCTTGATTTATATTAATTCTTTGGCCTGACTTTCCTAGCTCTACTTATGCTCACCCAAAATCATTCGGCCAAGATCGAGTGAGGGCAAAGCATGTTGTCCTTTTTTAAATACGTGAATGCGGGCGTCACCATTTGATGATCTAATGGCACCCAATCTTCTAATTTAAATCTCATAAACAACAATTATAAAATGAAAAAAATGATTTATTATCTAAAGATTATTTGGCCGAGCAAGGGACTTCTTGGCCAAGGGTGTTGGAAATTGGCTCAAATGTAAAAGAATTTTGGAGTTGCCCATGTGAGTCAAAGTTAGTTGCCCATGTGAGTAAATGTTGGCTTACTATGAGGTCAAAAATGGTGGATTGTTTGGTAGCCATCCATTGGTAAGTTTGGTAGCCAACAAATGAATAGTTGAAGCTTGCATTCACACTCTTGCATCTTTGGCTATAAATTGGAAGCAAATGGTTCCATTTGAAGCATCCCACCAAGTGTTGAGTAGAAGAGGAAAATAGCAAAGAAGGCATCTTGCCAAAGAGAGAAACATTTCTCTCTAGTTGTTCTTTGCTTTGTATTATTGTTTTCTCTTCAATTGTTGTGAGAGTGAGACTTGGGTGTATTTGGGGCTTTGGGTTTTCTTGAGTGATAAACACTTTGTATACTCTCTTTGATTATAGTGAATTACTCCGTCGTCTCCAAACTGGATGTAGGCATTGCCGAACCAGTATAAATCTTGGTGTTCTTGTTGGTGTTGTTTTGTGTTCCATTTATCTCCTGCTAGTTGTTGTTTATTTTTCACTCACAATTGGTTGACGCTTCCGCACAACATCCTATTTGTGCCACATCATCGCTCATTATAGGCCAGTCAAATTGGGTAGACTTCAAAGTCAAAATACCCTCTACACGCTATTAAAAGTCAAGTTACCCCCCAAACCCCGTTAATCTCGAGAGATTTTAGGTTCCTAACTCTATTGATCATACAGTAACCAAGCTCTGTTGGCAATGTGTATTGCAGACCTGCAAGACGAGCACGTCTGAGAGGGAGGGAGAGAAGTATTTGAGCATTTTAGCTAGTCGGCATTCTTTTATACTTATAGCACTAATGTCAAAGGAGAAAGATGAACTTTGTGGCTCCACTGGTGCCAACAAAAGAAGGCACATTGCTGCAACAAACTGCATTCAAGGTCTGGAGATAGACTGAAAGAAGCATGGAGAAGCCGGAAGTTGTACATAGACCGCTCCCCTGTAAAGATGAAGACAGGGCAAAGAAAAGCAGAATTGACCAACTTATAGATTAGCGAACAAGGAAATAGCATAAAACCGATGAGTACAAAGTGCAAATCCTTTGTTTATTATGTCTTTTGTGTTTATATTGGTCATGTGTAATTTGCTGATGGATGTTGCACTTTCAAGTACTTGGCAATGTAAAAAATTTCACAGTACCCATTTTTTGATTTATTCTGACAAAAAAAGAACACACACATATATATATGCATGTATATAGCAAGCTAAGAATAAGATGAGTAAATTACAAAATGGAGAAGCATTAGATTGAGACACTGTTGGGAATCCCCTTGCCAGTAAGTCCAGCCTCACTAGAAGGATGGAGCAAAGTGTATGGCATCTTGGCCGGTCCAACCCGGTTCTTCAATTTCTCATCCTTGTTCATTCTTTTCATGTTTTCCTCAATTTCTTCCAGCTTCTTTCTAAACTTCTTAGAGGCTTGCAATATGTCATTGTCTGTTGTCCATTCTGGCGCATCTCTCTGCCCCAAATAAAGCTCATCAGCTGAGTGTCTTGACAAGATTTCTATGGAGGCCATGCCAAGAAGGGTCTGCAGCTGAGGTGTAATTGTTTTCAAAAATGCCTTTTCAGGGTTTGTCTTGAGCTCCTCATACTCAGGAGTGCCTTCTTCGGGCATGAACCGCAGGCTTATGCTTGGCCGGTTTGGGGGGTATCCACCGAAAGGGTATTGCCCAAAATTGATTGCTGCATGATGGGCTGAAGCAATCCATATGATGATGGTGCATGATTCTATCAGCTCTTCACGAGTCTGCATTTTAGGCCACCATGGCTCATCTTTTTTGTCACCATGACCTTCCTCTCTGAGTTCCTTCCACCAGGACTGGAGTTCTGAGTCCTTTTGAACCGTTTCATCAGTTTTATAGTAGAAGGAGCAATAGTCCTTAACCCATGTTTTAATTGCAGACCAGATCTCAAGCCCATCAGCAGCATATGGATAGTCCTCTATCAGTAAGCGTACACCATGTGAGGAATTTGGATCTTCAACTGCCATTCCTCTGAACAGAGCAAAGGTTAGATAAATAATGGCCATCAATCCTATCATCTTTGTTATTTTTGAGTTTAGACAACAGTGACAACATTTATCAAATCATTTAGACCAAATTTTATTCATACATATGGCATTGTGTCTTAGCTCTTATTTCCTCAAAGGGCATGCTTTTCCATTTCAATTGTGTTGAATCTGTTACCATAATTCGAAAATGATAAATGTTACTATCAGAAGATTTTACCTTTTGATCAGATCTACAGGGAGCGCTTGTTCAGGAAAAACCCAGTTTTTATACATTACAGAAGACCATTCCATTGAGAACTTTGCAGGAAAGACTGTTGCCTCTAGTATTCCTCCAGCGTTAATGAGAACCTGTCGAGCGACTGCATTTACATTCATAGTGTCACGAAAGTGAGGATGCAGAAGCTTATGAATTGGGTGCAGCACGCTCAACTGCCTATTTGTGGCTATCACAAATGGTTCCATCACCGCATGAGTTCTCAACCTGCAACAAAACAAGAACATTTCTAGATGCATTTGGGAGAAATAAAAAAGTTATGAATTTATTTGCTAGGATTTCTTTAACATTGTTATACCAGTGGCTGATGAGCTGATGATAGCCAGAGTCATTTACATTCACATAAGCTTTAGCAAGTTGCCAAATGGAACTCTCGACGCCCTGGCTAGAGGGAGTATAGACTTTGCTAATGCAGCCAAATTGATCTCCATCAGGATGTGGCAAGCTTAACTCAATAGCTAATGGCTTCAAAGTCCCATCATTCTCTAAGAAAAGGAGTGTCCTGCTTGCATAAGTTTTTGTGGAAGTTTTGTTTATACGCCTCAGGTACGGCATCAATGCATCATGGTGGTCTAATATGAATAGCTTCTTGTTCTGGATTGCCTATTACAGAAAATGCTTTTCAGTAATTATCTTCAAATAAGAATATATGATTGCAAATCCACCTGAGGACTACTTGCTTCAAACTCAATTTTGAAAGAAGCAACTCAATAGTATTACCTCATCTATGCTGAGTCCATCTAAGTTATGTCCTATGTGTTCTTTGGTTATTTGACTAGTTTGATGCCCATATGTATTTTGGTCTAGCTTGCTAGCAGGTGGAAATTCCTGCAGTTTATTCAGAAGTAATAACGATTAGGATGTAGAATCAGAGTAAATATAATTCAAATGTAACTTCTCTACTGTTCCATTTTCTTCAAAAACAACTGTAGACAACAGATAATGAAAGCTTAGGATTACTTGGAGACGATGTATGACGACAGGATTTATTCCAGCCAGCATTTCTCTTGCAAATTCTTCATCAGTTTTCCATGCTGACTTATCCACTAGTACAATACAAATCATTAGAAACCCAGTAAGCAGTATATTAAGGGACAGAGAATGAAAGATCTTTTATTTAAGCAAATAAGTTTTCCAAAAAGAATCAAAATATTCATTAAAGTCATATTATGAGTAGAAAGTGACTGCCTTATATAATATATACCTTTGATCACTTGAGGCACTGGGAATTTCAGGAATTTTTCACCATCTGTTCGGAAAAGTTCCTTGATCGTCTCTGCAGGGATGTTATCCCTTACAGATTTTAGTATACCCTCAGGCAACTCTATTCCTCCTTCATAGAGTTTAAGAACATCTTCCAAGCTGTCAAAATGTTTTTGGGGGCCAACAAGTATAGATGCTAGCTCATCAGGCCTAAGGAGCTGAGATATGGATTTCAGGGCATAAGCAATCAAGTCTGACATCTTTAAGTGACCAAACCGTTCATCTCTCGGAACATATATCAATAAGCTCAAAAGAAGCATCATTGGGGTCTCACTTTCAGGATCTGTTATGATGAAAGAAGAAAAGTCTTAACAATAAACCTTTCTTCTTGAATACTTTCACAGCAATAGAGATCCATATTCCTTGTTTGTCATTGTTAAAGATTGAAAAAAAAAATTACCAAGTTTTGAGTAGTGACTGAGAAATGAAGTTAATTGACTGACCTTCCTTAGTTGGTCGTCTTCCTGTTCTTCCCCTCCGAGGATAAGGGAACTTACTCGAGCCACCGAGAATTGGACGGGCATATTGTGGACCCTTATGCGGTTTTCCCAAATCATTATAGTAGGCATAGCCATAAACCCTGTCCCATTCCTGAAGTTCTGTTTCATCGTCATTATCTCCTCTCAAGTTTACTAGCTCTTCTTCTCTGAATTTCTTTAGTGGCCCTGGTGTTTCACTTAAAAGATATGTCTGCACAAATATATAGTTCAATTTGTAATTGAAATGACCCTTTACAATATTACCAGCACAACATAGCAGTCTATCAGCAAAATCAGTGTGTTTTTCACCTGTACTTCACTCTTTAAGAGAAAGTTACATTAATTCTTCAACTGCATTAGAAGTTAGAACTTTATGCTTTCATCCTATAAATATACCTTGTTAGCGAAGAAAACACGGTCTTTTTTGTAGTTTTTAGCAGGATACACCCATGAGTTGCAGACAAAGTGGATTCGACCTTCTCCAGGAACATCTTCGAGTGTGAGAGTCTTCAAGTAAAACTCACTGTGATGATCATTTCTTATTATGAATGCTCCTGGGACTCCAATCTCCTCATCCCAATCAAAAGTAACCTCAAATGTACACTCCTCTGCTGTTAAGGGAGTGATTGTGGTAACCCAATCTTCCAAATATGCTGGCTTTCCAACTTTTCCTCGCCCGTTTTCTACCAAAATAAAATAAAAAGAAAAAAAGAAAAAGAAAACACATCATACTCAAAAACCAATCGACAAATGTTCAATTATGAGACCTCAAAATTTGTGGGCTTTTAAAATAAATAAATAAATTTCTAAATTGAGATGTTCTGCTTCATCTTTTGGGGTTCTGGTATTAAGATATAAAACAACATTCTTTAATAAATAATTACATACTTATTCAAAGGAAAACCATTTGAAGCTAATTAATGAAGAAGTAAACTAGAAGCCACATATCTATAAACATAAAGACAAATAGTATTCAATACTCACCAGGGTCACCATTAACAGAACTAATGAGCTGCAGAGAAACCACTTTGCCCCACAGCTCATGAACACGATCAAGAAACGATGCTTTGAGGTCATTTAACTCCAAAACATTCTTCTTCATCAACACCACTCTCCCCTTGATCTTCTTGTCTCCGTCTTTGGGGTGTGGATCAACGGTGATGTTCTGGGACGGCTTGGCAGATGAAGCCACAGTCAACGGTTGAGATCGTGCAACATCAGTCATGCGCAAGAAACCAGGGAACAATTTCATAGTCATAGGCAACAAGCCATTGGGTGACGTGGCATGATCTGGATTGTTGATTGTTGCTGCTGCAACAACCGAGTTCATCCGAGCTCCACACGGAGCTTTTGTCCTGAAGCTCAAAGGACTGAGATACTTGCAATGAAGCATCTTTCTCTGCTGCTTCAAGAAAGAACTGAGAAAAATTAATAAAAGAAGGTTTCGAGGATCTCAGTCAGTGTGAAGAATAAGTGAGAGAAGGTGTGGTATTTATGGGTAGTGTGAGATCACTGGTTCAATGTATTAGAATAATATCAGTCTTTATGAAATCCTAGTCATTTTGATTTCACAGCTTTTGGCCTCAAGTTTTGGTCTTTGAACTTTTTTTGTTGAAAACCAAGTATCCCCGCGCGACTGCGGGACTAATCCTCGGGCGCAAAGCGGGACCTCTCCCAACAAAGTCTGCTCTATTCGCAAGCGCCTGGGATCGAACCCATTCTGGTCTTTGAACTTCACCAACTCAATCCTATGATGTTCTCATCTTGACCCAACAATAAATAAATAAAAATTCTTTATGTTTGTTCTATTGCATTTGCAGGGGTTGACTTAAAGACCCAGACTTTTCCTATTGTTTACAGTTGTAGTCAATTTTGGCATTTGATGATGATGATGATGATGATGATGATGGTTCAAGGCAGCTTCAACCCTCTTTTACCAAACCGACAAATATAGAAAGATTTATGCAAGATTTCAATTACATACTTTCTGTAGATTCTGTATAAAAATGGCTTGCTGAATTTTCTAATATTATCCGTTTAGTTATTAAAAAATACACCACCAATACATTATACATACAAAAGGGTTTGCTGGCCCCATCACAAATGAAAGATTATGCCCAATCCACACAGGTAGGTTCTTCTGTACCACAAAATATTAATATATACAGATTTTTGGAAGTGGGCATAATGTGAATGGGAAAAGCTTAGAGAGTTTACATTCAAGAGGTTTGCAAAAGTCTTGCCAAGGCCAATTGTGTTTCCCAGGCGCCACATCATCATTCATGACAGGTCAATCAGTAAAGTAGGGTAGACTTGAAAATAATTTACTAGGAAAGTGCTTGGAATGACTTTTCTTGAACAAATTGCTGATTAAATTTTAATATAGTGATAAGATGAAGCCATCTTGAGCTTTCACACTAGAGATTACAGTCAAGCCACATGGTAGAAGATGACTGAACCTTTTCTTTTCTTTTCTTGGACTTGTTAATGTTTCACCTACCTAAGTAGTAACCTTTTATTCAAATATCATATAAAATGTTGTTACTATGGGTATGGGTTCTTGAAGCACAAAGAGATTTTACTCGTTAGTCTCAATTAGGCGGTTTGTGGACTTTTGTTGCTCTATACAGCGCTTTTGGACTAATAAGTTTTATGTTAGGTCAATTTAGTATTTTAAAATGATCCCTATATTTTACTCAATTGGCAAATTTAATTTCTGTATTTTCAATTTGACCAATTTAGCCCCTATGTTTTACTTTGTTAACCAATATTGTTCATTTCATTAAATTGCCGTTAAAAAATTCATTTAAATTCATTTAACATAATGGACAACATTGGCTAACGGAGTAAAACACAGGGACTAAATTGGCCAAATTAAATGCACAGAGATTAAATTTGCCAAATGTACAAAATACATGGACCATTTTAACATTCAAGCCTTAATTTTATGGAAGCAGTTGACTGTTTAAAATTTTATATTTTTTCGTTTTTACTTGGTGATGATTTTCATTTAATTTTTGAACAGATGAGACAGAGGCAACTTATTCCATGCACTTGCAGGCATGCCGAGATTGAGATTAGGAGCTTATGCATACTGTCATGGATGATTTCAAAGATGCTTTTGCTTCTCCCTCTCAAATATGCTTATTAAAAGTAAGGCTTAAAATTCTGATTTTCACAGTTTCCAATATCTTGGATGAAATGTTGATATTGCATATGCCTAGGCTGTTGCTGCAGAATTTTCTAACTGAAAGGCTTGCAATGAAGCTAATGAACCAAAGAATACAGAGTTATTTATATAAAGATTGTAGCCAAGCAATTTACAAGGCCTTATTGCAACTGTAATATTGTACGCTTATTACACATAAAGAATGCATTATACTAATTAATTATATATAGTAATTGCAACTTGCATTATACTAATTAACTTTAGTCTATATAGCTTGAGAGGCTTAGATTGAGACACTGTTGGGAATTCCCCTGCCAGTAAGTCCTCCTTCGCTAGTAGGAAACAGCAAAGTGTATGGCACCTTCACCGGTCCAACTCGGTTCTTCAGTTTCTCATCATTGTTCATACTTGTAATTCTGTCCTCAATTTCAGCCAGTTTCTTTCCAAATTTATCAAAGGCTTTCAATGGTTCAGTATCTGCTGTCCATTCAGGAGTGTCTCTCTGCCCCAAATACACTTCATCAGTAGAATGCCTTGACAGAATTTCAATGAGGGCAATGCCAAGCACTGTCTGCAGCTGAGCAGTAATTGTTTTCAAGAAAACTGTATCGGGGCTGGATTCGAGCTCTTTGTACTCAGGAGTTCCCTTCTCAGGCATGAATTTTCGGCTTATAGTTGGGCGGTTGGGGAGGTATCCTGCATAAGGGTACTGTCCAAAGTTGACAGCTGCATGGAGAGCAGAAGCAGTCCATATGATGATAGTGCATGTTTCGACTAGGTCTTCGCGAGTCTGCATTTTAGGCCACCAGGGCTCATCTTTTTTGTCACCATGGCCTTCCTCTACAAGCTCCTTCCACCAGGATTGGAGTTCAGTGTCTTTTTGAATTATGTCATCAGTCTTGTAGTAGAAAGAGCAATAGTCTTCAACCCAAGTTTTAATTGCAAACCAGATTTCAATTCCATCAACGGCATATGGATAGTCCTCAATCAGTAGGCGAAGACCATGTGGAGAATTTGCATCCTTGACTGCAACTCCTCTGTATTGATCAAAGGCAAAACAATGTAATTAGAATAAGAAATGGATATTTATTACTTATCTTGTGCTCATTTGAGTAACTTGTGCAGAGGCTATTAACTCACAAATTGTAGATTTTTGTTTACCTCTTGATGAGATCTGCAGGGAGAGCTTGCTCAGTGAAAACCCAATCCTTATAAACCACTGATGACATCTCCATGGCATACCTAGCTGGAAAAACTGTCGTCTCCAGAATGCCGCCAGCATTAATCAGGATTTGCCTGGCAAATGCATTTATGTTCATGGTGTCACGGAAGTGAGGATGCAAAAGTTTGTAAATTGGGTGAACCACGCTTAGCTGCCTGTTTGTAGCTATTACAACTGGCTCACACACTGCATGGGTGTTCAACCTGTGGCCAAAAGATAAAAGGATTATCAGAAACCCAATTCAAAGTATATGATGAATTCATTTTCTAAGATTTCTTTCTTTGAAAGATTAGTACCAGTGACTGATAAGTTGATGAACTCCAGAGTCATTTACAGCCACATAAGCTTTAGCCAGTTGCCATATGGAGCCTTCTACACCCTCTTCAGCTGGTGTATATACTTTACTAATGCGACCAAATTGATCTCCATCAGGATGAGGCAAGCTTAATTCAATCACCAATGGCTTCAAAGTTCCATCACTTTTCAAGAAAAGGATTGTTCTGCTAGAATAGATCTTGTTGGAAGTTGAGTTTATCCGCCTCAGGTACGGCATCAATGCATCATGATGATCCAATATGAATAACTTGTTCTGCTTGAGTGCCTATCCAACCAAATTCATTTTCATCATTATGAAATGATAAAAATCAAACATAAGCTAATACAATGTAAAGGCATCATGATGATCTAATATGAATAACTTGTTCTGCTTGAGTGCCTATCCAACCAAATTCATTTTCATCATTATGAAATGATAAAAATCAAACATAAGCTAATACAATGTAAAGGAAGCAAATCCAAGATATTACCTCATGCACTGTTAGTCCATCCAAGTTGTTCCCTATATCCTGTTCTGTTATTCTACTGCTTTGATCTCCATAAACTTTTGGGTCTAGTTTGCTTGCTGGTGGAAATTCCTGCAGTTCAGTTAGAAGTAAATGTGATTAAAGATGAACAAAATGGACCCTCGAAGGTTTTGTTTGTTTTTCATCCATTATCATTGGAAAACATCACACACACAAAATGTTGTGAAGATTATTACTTGGAGAAGACTAATGTTGACAGGGTTCACTCCAGCCAGCATTTCTCTGCCAAATTCTTCATCAGTCCTCCAAGCAGACTTATCCTCTGCTCCAAATCATTAAAACATCACAATTAGATAAAAGGAGATAGTACATGATATCATAGGCTATTGCTTAAAGCCTCTAAATTCAGAATTTCTCATTGGTGGAACCATATACCTTCGATCACTTGAGGCATGGGGAATCTGAGCAATTGTGCACCGTCAGTTCGGAAAATTTCCTTGAGCATCTCTGCAGGGATGTTGTCTCCGATATCCTTCAATAAACCTTCAGGCAATGGAATGCCTCCTTTATAGAGTTTAAGCACATCTTCCAAGCTGTCAAACTCGCTAGGAGTCTTATCAAACAGGGCTTCTAGCTCTGGCCTAATGAATTGAACTATGGATTTCAGTGCATAAGCCAGAAAGTCTGACAACTTCAAGTGTCCAAATCGTTCATCTCTTGGCACATAAATGTTTAAGCTCATAAGAAGCGGAATCCTACTCTCGCTGTTAGGATCTGTTAGAATAAGATCAGAAAAATCTTAGTGATAATTACAACATCAGTTAATTAAAATCCAAATTAGTATATCAACTTTTACTGTAAAACGATACAAAATATGATCCCTCTTGTGACTGCTAATTAATGATTTGAGGAACAAAACATTACACAAAGATATTTAAATGGCTAACCTGTATTCGTTGGTGGTCTGCCAGTTCTTCCCCTGCGAGGGTAAGGGTACTCGCTAGACCCTCCCAGAGTTGGTCGGGCATATTTGGAACCCTTATCAGGGTTTCCTAGATCATTGTAGTAAGCATAGTCATAGACCCTGTCCCATTCCTGGAGCTCTCCCTTTCCATCTCCTCTCAAGTGTACTAGTTCTTCTTCTCTGTATTTTTGCAGCGGCAACGGTGTTTCACTTGGGAGAAATGTCTGCACAAACATATAGCAGGCTTGAATTTTTGCAGCTACAACAAAAACTACAGCAGATTGTAATGGATTGTGTGAATCATTCGTTACCTTGTTAACGAAGAAAACACGGTCTTTCGTGTATTTTTCAGCAGGGTACACCCATGAGTTGCAAACAAAGTGGACCCGGCCCTCACGAGGAACATCTTCAAGGGTGATAGTCTTAAGGAAGAACTCACTGTGATGATTGTTTTTTATCAAGATGGCTCCTGGAACTCCTGTTTCTTCTTCCCAGTCAAAGGTAACCTTGAATGCAGAATCTCCTACTGTTAATGGAGTGATTGTGGTGATCCAGTCTTCCAGATATGCTGGCTCTCCAAGCTTCCCCTTAAACCCGTTTTCTACAAAAACACATTTCTCCAAGTTCAGAAAATAATTCCATATCTAGTACCCCTGTCAACGCAAATGCACTCATCAAGGGAGAAGAATCAGGATCTGATTCTTCTCACTCCTAACCATTGACCTGCTGGGCAAATATTCTGTATTTA